ACATATAAAAATTTCATAATTTTCTGAGATCGGGAACTATTTAAAAACAAATACAAAACCAAACTATTTTTGCATAGAATTTACACAGCAGTCAAATTCAAAAATTTGCTAAATTAAATTATGCACTGGCTATTTAAAAAAAAAATAAAATTCCGGGTCATCACAGCCACAACTAGTTTCATGTATTTCAGCCAAGAGTTCCTTAACTTTATCTGGATAAACGCATTCTAAGTACGATCCAGAAAGGGATTTTTTGTATAGCTTTCCATACGGATCCAAGTAGTATCGCAGGGCTTTATTTCACAGTTTGTGGGCTTATTTCTTATCCAATGGGAGTTGCTCTGAGGAAAGGAATACAACAATGGGGTCCATCCAACTTGGACCTGGTTCAATGATGTTAATCTAAACTGGTTCAGAAAAGGCAATGCTCGGCTCAGGGATGAATCCTACTTCGATTGTCCGCTTGATTTCTGAATCGATGGCAGAGGCTAGACAAGCTAGGGCATCTGCTTGCGTGTTTTGATCCCGGGTTATTTGATTCAATTCATGGTGGTCGAATTTCGCGAGCAAGGAGTTTGCCATTTTTATATAGGCTGCCATACGGTCATTTTTAGCTACATACTCCCCTTTCAACTGATTGATGACTAATTTTGAGTCACAAAAAACAAACAATCACCACGCACCAAAGTGAAGTGCGTTCCGTAGGCCGGTTAGCAATGCTTCGTATTCAGCGTCATTATTTGATGCATCGAAGCCCAGTTTGACCGCCTGCTCGATTATTGCCCCTTCGGGGGTCATGATTATTATGCTTGCCCCACTGTCACGTTGGTTGGATGACCCGTCACAGTACATCTGCCAAATGTCTCCAACATATATCCTCTAGTTGGGTTTAGGTTGCATTTGATCGAACTTGAAGTCGGCGAGGCATCCCGTGAATTCGGCTACAAAATTGGCGAGCACTTGCCCCTTGATGGAAGTTCTAGGCAGTAACTGGATATCATACTGGCCGAGTTCTAATGCCCACTTCGAAATGCGTCCTGATGCTTCCACGCTACGGAGCACTGACCGGAGGGGGTAGTCCGTTAGTACCCCTATCATACGCCCCTAAAAGTAATGCATTAGTTTTCTTGCAGCCATAATGAAAGCATCGATGAGCTTTTTGAGTGGTAGATAACGTGTTTCGGCGTTAACCATTGCTTTTCTTACATTGTAAACTGGTCGCTACTCCCCGTGTTCTTCCCTTAAAAGTATGGTGCTTACCGCCCGATCAGATACCGCCAGCTACAGAATGAGCGGATCGCTTGCCGAGGGGATTGCCAAGAGTGGTATTGATCAGAGGTAAGTTTTCAAACCATCTAAAGCGGCTTGGCACTCGGGGGTCCATTCAAAGGCTTTACCTTGCCAAAGTGTATGAAAGAATTATCGGCATCGATCTGTGCAATGGCTGATAAACTTGTTAAGCATTGCGGCCATTCCCATTAGCTTCTGAACCTCTTTGACCAACCGAGGAGAGTCGAGTTCTAGAATTGCTGTGATTTGCCTCGGGTTGGCCTCTATTCTGCAATGGTTAACAATGTAACCGAGGAATTTCCTGGAACTGATGTCGAATGCACACTTTGAGGTGTTCAATTTCATTTTGAACTTTCGAAGAATGCCGAATGTCTCTGCCAAGTCGGCTAGATAGGCGTGCTTTTCCTTAGATTTGACCACCATGTCGTCAATATATACTTCCATGGTGTGGCCAAGATATTCCTTGAATATGGCAGTAACTAGTCTCTGGTAAGCTGCCCCCGCATTCTTCAGCCCGAAAGGCATGACCTTGTAGCAATAGGTTTCCCTCGGGGTGAGGAATGCAGTCTTTTCTTGGTCCTTCGGGCAATGGCAATTTGGTGATAGCCTCTGTAGGCGTCCAAGAAGCTCATGCGTTGATGATGTGCCGTTGCATCATTCTAGAGAGGGAAAAACAATCCTTGGGACAAGCATTGTTTAAATCTGTGAAATCCACATAAACACACCAAGATTCATTCTTCTTCTTTACAACCACGTATTGGACAACCATGTAGGATTGGTAACTTTGCGAATTGCCCCGGCATCAAATAATTGATCAACTTCTTTGACAACAACGGAAGCATGCTCCGCAGCTGACCGCTGACTTTTTTGAATGATTGGTTTACATTTTGGATCAACGTTTAAGCAGTGCTGGGCCACAGATGGATCCACCCCCAGCATCTCGTATGATATCCACGCAAACACGTCGAGGTTACCAAGTAAGAAGGATACAAGCTCGTGCCTATCAACTTCATTCAGGGAAGTGCTGATCATGAAGAACTTGTTAGGACTCCCATTAATTTCGATCCGATCCAAACCTTCAGTTGCCTTTTCGCTGGGGATCTTCTCAATGTCCTCGAGGCTCTCCCGATCTGGTACTTCAATTGAATTCACTTCCATTTCCTTTGGTCTCTTTGCAACAGTAACAAGGTAGCATGCCTATATTGATTTCTAAGAACCTCGAATTTGTTCAATGCCATACTCAGTCAGAAAACGAAGTAATTGATGGTATGTGCTTGGCACAGCTTGCATGGTAAACAACCAAGTTCTTCCCATGATGAAATTGTCTGGTGGCGGAAGTTTGACGACCAGAAATTCTACATCTACTGATCTGGTGCTTGCCCGAACTGGTAATGCGATCTTGCCCAAAGGATACTCAGGGTTAGCGTTGAAGCCGAATAATGGGTAATCGGCCGGCAACAAATCCGAGTCAGTGAAGCCGAGTTTAACAAATGTCTTGTAATACATTATTTCTGAAGTGCTTCCCTAATCGATGAGAACACGTTCAATGGTGAATCTGTTAACGCGTAGCTCAATGACGAGGGGATTGGTGTGGGGGAGAGTTACGCCAACTAAGTCAGTGTCGTCGAAACTAATCCTTACAATTTCATAGGGCCATTTTGCTGATGTGATTGGCTTATGGAAGCTAGGTTGTAACTGAATTGTCTGTATCTTGGCTAATGATGGCAGGCTGTATATCATGTGAATTACACCAAGTGGAGGTGAATCTGGCCGTAGGGCTATCATGTGCGATGGATTATTCTTTCAAACGTGTTGCACCAGCCGGCCGTCTTGTACCAGTTCCTCCAAATGGTCCTTCAGCACATAACAACTGTCGGTGTCATGACCATGGCCCTTGTGGTATTCACACCGCTTGTCCTTTCTCCTAGTATCAGGAGGTCCTATCATTTTGGACGACCATTTGAAGAACGGAAAGTGTTAAACTTTCGGCAAAATCTTGCTGACCGGCTCTACTAACTCTGTGTATTTTTTGTTTGAGCGTCTTGTGCGCCTGTTATCTAGTTGATATTGTTCATTCAATCGGTGTGAACATTGATCATTTGATCGGTGTGAGTCACGCCTTTTGTCTCGTTTAGCCCGATTCCGCGTTTCGGGGCTCCTTGATGGTGCGATGCTTATCAACTGAACGATTCCTGGCGGAGCTGTCTTAATGACTTTCTGTATAGTTTTGACCCTCAGGGCATCGTTTTCCACCTTGCAATATTCTTCGACTTTCTTCATTAATGTCCAAACTATTTTGGGAGGCCGTCTAGTCAACGAATTGAGGAGGGGACTACCAGGATGTAATCCCATTTTAAAGGCGGTTATGGCCATGGAGTCATTGCAGACATCGTCTACCAGGTTAAAGCATTCTCAATAGCGTGCTGAATATTTACGAAGGGTTTCTTCTGGTTTAATTTACATTGCCCAGAGAGAATCAACTTGCTTTGGCTGGATTTCATTGGTGATGAATCTTGCCCTGAAGGACTTTTGGAGTTGATGGAAGCTTTTGATCGATGTCAGCTCCAGCTTATAGTACCACCTGACGGCCAACGATCCTAGACTACTCGGAAACATTCGACATATGAAGGCTCCATCGTCAGCATACAGTGTCATCGCTTGTTTATAATGATGAATATGATTAGTGGGGTTTGATTTCCCGTCATACAGGGTGAACGACGGTGCTTTGAACTTCTTGGGTAGCATTGCCCTTGTGATTTGTCGCACAAAAGGGTCATGCTTGTCTTCTTCATCCGAATCATCACTTCTTTTCCCTCGCTTGTGTCGTATATACGGACTCTCTTCGGATGAACTGGATACATCGAATCGTTCCTTCTTTCTGGGATCCGGGGATGGTGAGTCAGAATCACTGTCATTATCGTGTTTCCAAAGTCGACATCGTCGATCATCCTTCTTTCCTGAAGGTCAACCTCGGTCGTGATGAGATTTGGCTAGCTTCAGGACCAACTCTTGTCGCGGGCGCTCGTTCTCAGCCATCATGTTTTCTAGACGCTGTTCATTTTGCTTTGCTTGATCCATGATTGTCTGCATTGTCTCTTGCACTGATGTTGAGGGTGAAGTCTGGGCTACTGAGTCAAAGTTCAAGGCCCGTCGTGCGGTGATATTCTCCGGTCCAAGCATGTTTCTTGGAGTGATGTCATGTCTTGGCGTAATGTCATCAAGTACTACTGGAGGATCATCTGTTACGCCACCATGGATGTGCTTGAGTATTCCCACAGACGGCGCCAATTGTGGAGAAGTGGTTTGGAAATACTCTAAGATCCAATAAGACATTCTTGATCCTTTGATTGCCTCTTGAAGAAAGGATGAATACTCCGGTCAGGGGTGCCAGAATTAGCACTCCGACGGACAAGTTAGTATTCTCTCAAGTTTACTTCTATTTCAAGTTATTTAATCTATTCTCACATACCTCTCTTTGGTTGATGTTCCTTTATTTATACTCATATCTGGTCCCAAGGGTCGGACCCACTCTTAATCCAGCGCATGATTGCTTATTCGGCCTTTCGATTGCATGTCGGATCCTACTTGGCTCCTTGTATGGCCGATTGCACATTCGATTTGAATATTTGGCTTCAAGAGCCCTTTGGACAGAGCCGAATCGTCTTTAGCCTGATTTTCTTCAAATTAGTCTGGCTTTCCTTAGTATATAATTATTTAGCCCCCACAGAGATAAACTTCATTGAAAAGGTAAGTAGAGTACATGCTGCTATATATATACACTTTGTATAACTGAGTTGGTTGTAACCAACTCTCTAACAATTTCTCTAACCAACTATTTAACCATTTTGGTGTTTTCTATCTTTACAATTCTATGACTTATTATACATGATAGTCGTATACATGAGGTGAGCAGCCTTGGATGCCTTGACTTTCTCTGTTTGAATAGATTGCAGCTGTATCAAAGTAGGCTGCTGTTGTTGCTGTTGCATAGGTTGCTATTGTTGTATAGATTGTTGTTGCTGCTGCTGCTGCATAGGTTGTTGTTGCATAGGCTGCTGAGATTGCTTTTGTTGAAGCTGCTCTGATGCCTTAGGCTCAGTCTCAGTTGCTTTGGGAACATTGGGAACATACATCTTATCAATTTCAAACAAACACAATCCAAATTCAATCAAAGTGTGTCCATAAAACCAGGACTCTCACAAACACCCCCAACTTAGATTTTCAAATTTCATAATGTTTATCAAATAGTACAATACTTAAAAATATATACGAACATCTAAAACCCAAAAAAAAAAAAAAAAATCATTATAATTCTAAGAAAAATAGTAGTTTTTACCTTGGAAGCACTTCCCTTAGACCACCCAATACTTAGTCCTTTACCATTATTAGTTGACAACAGATCATATATCTCTTCCTTGTATATCTCCAAGACAATGACTTGAACAAATGTCCCAACTCCTACATTTTCTTTATCTCCTTCACCCAATATATCTTTCAAAGATCTATACACAATCCCCTGTTGCTTTGCACCCCAAACATGATATGACTCTTGCCTCTTTTACTATCAAAATTTCTGGAAAACCCAAAATATCACAAATGTCATTGATATTTATTCATTACTCCTCTCTTATTTTTTTAACCTATGAACCTAGACAATCAGAAATAAATACATAATGGACAACGCGAATGGGTTTTGTTTTATCATCTAAAATTGCACCTCAAAACAACTCATGAACATGTAATTAAAAAAAACAATTAAATTCAATCTGGGCACTACCAAAGCTTATAAACAGATGTCAAACACGTGAGCATTGCCTAGTTTTATTTGAACATTTCGTCAAACACATGGTGGGCAAAAGGGTTAGAAGACAAAAACAAATACAAGCATAGACAAATTTCGTTTGAACATCTTTTTAGGCACGTGGTGAGCATGAGGGTGGAAAACAACAACAATTACAAGCATAGACCAAATAACAGTAATACATACACTACCATCAACAACAACAACAACAACAACAACAACAACAACAACAACAACAACAACAACAACAACAACAACAACAACAACAACAACAACAACAACAACAACAACAACAACAACAACAACAACAACAACAACAACAACAACAACAACAACAACAACAACAACAACAACAACAACAACAACAACAACAACAACAACAACAACAACAACAACAACAACAACAACAACAACAACAACAACAACAACAACAACAACAACAACAACAACAACAACAACAACAACAACAACAACAACAACAACAACAACAACAACAACAACAACAACAACAACAACAACAACAACAACAACAACAACAACAACAACAACAACAACAACAACAACAACAACAACAACAACAACAACAACAACAACAACAACAACAACAACAACAACAACAACAACAACAACAACAACAACAACAACAACAACAACAACAACAACAACAACAACAACAACAACAACAACAACAACAACAACAACAACAACAACAACAACAACAACAACAACAACAACAACAACAACAACAACAACAACAACAACAACAACAACAACAACAACAACAACAACAACAACAACAACAACAACAACAACAACAACAACAACAACAACAACAACAACAACAACAACAACAACAACAACAACAACAACAACAACAACAACAACAACAACAACAACAACAACAACAACAACAACAACAACAACAACAACAACAACAACAACAACAACAACAACAACAACAACAACAACAACAACAACAACAACAACAACAACAACAACAACAACAACAACAACAACAACAACAACAACAACAACAACAACAACAACAACAACAACAACAACAACAACAACAACAACAACAACAACAACAACAACAACAACAACAACAACAACAACAACAACAACAACAACAACAACAACAACAACAACAACAACAACAACAACAACAACAACAACAACAACAACAACAACAACAACAACAACAACAACAACAACAACAACAACAACAACAACAACAACAACAACAACAACAACAACAACAACAACAACAACAACAACAACAACAACAACAACAACAACAACAACAACAACAACAACAACAACAACAACAACAACAACAACAACAACAACAACAACAACAACAACAACAACAACAACAACAACAACAACAACAACAACAACAACAACAACAACAACAACAACAACAACAACAACAACAACAACAACAACAACAACAACAACAACAACAACAACAACAACAACAACAACAACAACAACAACAACAACAACAACAACAACAACAACAACAACAACAACAACAACAACAACAACAACAACAACAACAACAACAACAACAACAACAACAACAACAACAACAACAACAACAACAACAACAACAACAACAACAACAACAACAACAACAACAACAACAACAACAACAACAACAACAACAACAACAACAACAACAACAACAACAACAACAACAACAACAACAACAACAACAACAACAACAACAACAACAACAACAACAACAACAACAACAACAACAACAACAACAACAACAACAACAACAACAACAACAACAACAACAACAACAACAACAACAACAACAACAACAACAACAACAACAACAACAACAACAACAACAACAACAACAACAACAACAACAACAACAACAACAACAACAACAACAACAACAACAACAACAACAACAACAACAACAACAACAACAACAACAACAACAACAACAACAACAACAACAACAACAACAACAACAACAACAACAACAACAACAACAACAACAACAACAACAACAACAACAACAACAACAACAACAACAACAACAACAACAACAACAACAACAACAACAACAACAACAACAACAACAACAACAACAACAACAACAACAACAACAACAACAACAACAACAACAACAACAACAACAACAACAACAACAACAACAACAACAACAACAACAACAACAACAACAACAACAACAACAACAACAACAACAACAACAACAACAACAACAACAACAACAACAACAACAACAACAACAACAACAACAACAACAACAACAACAACAACAACAACAACAACAACAACAACAACAACAACAACAACAACAACAACAACAACAACAACAACAACAACAACAACAACAACAACAACAACAACAACAACAACAACAACAACAACAACAACAACAACAACAACAACAACAACAACAACAACAACAACAACAACAACAACAACAACAACAACAACAACAACAACAACAACAACAACAACAACAACAACAACAACAACAACAACAACAACAACAACAACAACAACAACAACAACAACAACAACAACAACAACAACAACAACAACAACAACAACAACAACAACAACAACAACAACAACAACAACAACAACAACAACAACAACAACAACAACAACAACAACAACAACAACAACAACAACAACAACAACAACAACAACAACAACAACAACAACAACAACAACAACAACAACAACAACAACAACAACAACAACAACAACAACAACAACAACAACAACAACAACAACAACAACAACAACAACAACAACAACAACAACAACAACAACAACAACAACAACAACAACAACAACAACAACAACAACAACAACAACAACAACAACAACAACAACAACAACAACAACAACAACAACAACAACAACAACAACAACAACAACAACAACAACAACAACAACAACAACAACAACAACAACAACAACAACAACAACAACAACAACAACAACAACAACAACAACAACAACAACAACAACAACAACAACAACAACAACAACAACAACAACAACAACAACAACAACAACAACAACAACAACAACAACAACAACAACAACAACAACAACAACAACAACAACAACAACAACAACAACAACAACAACAACAACAACAACAACAACAACAACAACAACAACAACAACAACAACAACAACAACAACAACAACAACAACAACAACAACAACAACAACAACAACAACAACAACAACAACAACAACAACAACAACAACAACAACAACAACAACAACAACAACAACAACAACAACAACAACAACAACAACAACAACAACAACAACAACAACAACAACAACAACAACAACAACAACAACAACAACAACAACAACAACAACAACAACAACAACAACAACAACAACAACAACAACAACAACAACAACAACAACAACAACAACAACAACAACAACAACAACAACAACAACAACAACAACAACAACAACAACAACAACAACAACAACAACAACAACAACAACAACAACAACAACAACAACAACAACAACAACAACAACAACAACAACAACAACAACAACAACAACAACAACAACAACAACAACAACAACAACAACAACAACAACAACAACAACAACAACAACAACAACAACAACAACAACAACAACAACAACAACAACAACAACAACAACAACAACAACAACAACAACAACAACAACAACAACAACAACAACAACAACAACAACAACAACAACAACAACAACAACAACAACAACAACAACAACAACAACAACAACAACAACAACAACAACAACAACAACAACAACAACAACAACAACAACAACAACAACAACAACAACAACAACAACAACAACAACAACAACAACAACAACAACAACAACAACAACAACAACAACAACAACAACAACAACAACAACAACAACAACAACAACAACAACAACAACAACAACAACAACAACAACAACAACAACAACAACAACAACAACAACAACAACAACAACAACAACAACAACAACAACAACAACAACAACAACAACAACAACAACAACAACAACAACAACAACAACAACAACAACAACAACAACAACAACAACAACAACAACAACAACAACAACAACAACAACAACAACAACAACAACAACAACAACAACAACAACAACAACAACAACAACAACAACAACAACAACAACAACAACAACAACAACAACAACAACAACAACAACAACAACAACAACAACAACAACAACAACAACAACAACAACAACAACAACAACAACAACAACAACAACAACAACAACAACAACAACAACAACAACAACAACAACAACAACAACAACAACAACAACAACAACAACAACAACAACAACAACAACAACAACAACAACAACAACAACAACAACAACAACAACAACAACAACAACAACAACAACAACAACAACAACAACAACAACAACAACAACAACAACAACAACAACAACAACAACAACAACAACAACAACAACAACAACAACAACAACAACAACAACAACAACAACAACAACAACAACAACAACAACAACAACAACAACAACAACAACAACAACAACAACAACAACAACAACAACAACAACAACAACAACAACAACAACAACAACAACAACAACAACAACAACAACAACAACAACAACAACAACAACAACAACAACAACAACAACAACAACAACAACAACAACAACAACAACAACAACAACAACAACAACAACAACAACAACAACAACAACAACAACAACAACAACAACAACAACAACAACAACAACAACAACAACAACAACAACAACAACAACAACAACAACAACAACAACAACAACAACAACAACAACAACAACAACAACAACAACAACAACAACAACAACAACAACAACAACAACAACAACAACAACAACAACAACAACAACAACAACAACAACAACAACAACAACAACAACAACAACAACAACAACAACAACAACAACAACAACAACAACAACAACAACAACAACAACAACAACAACAACAACAACAACAACAACAACAACAACAACAACAACAACAACAACAACAACAACAACAACAACAACAACAACAACAACAAC